TTTGTTTATACCGTTGGAGTGTTGGTGGCATACATTTGATCCCTTACTTTAGTTTCGTTGCATGTGCTTGTTGACACAATTTTTATGTTATAAACGGTGTTCGTCTTATTTTAGCTTATTTTTGTCCATATTAGTTAGGCGTGTTTATAGCAATATACTTTCCGTGGAATCCCGCAAATTTTCTTATTGGTGTAATCGATAACCGAATCGATAAGCCCCAAAAATCGATAAATCGAAATCGAAAAAATCGAAACCTTATTGAAACGATAACGATAAACATATGTACAAATCGATAATCGATAAGTAATTATCGATAAGGGTCAAAATCGAATCGATAAATCGAATGCACACCCCTAGCTCAAGCATTAACCGGGTCAGTTCCTATTCCCGCTTTTAAAGTTTCAACTAGTTTTACGTGGACTACTGAAAACTACCTCAATCTTTATTTCTCCTGTCTTACTTACAACAAGTGAATAGATATATGTGTTCATTTCTCTTTCAACTATTCATCCATTCCAACGTCTACCAATCGTATAATTTCAGCATTCTTATTCCAGTGAAAGTACAATCAGAGGCCAGATTAGGGAAATAAAGAGGAAGTTTTCAAAAATAAGGAAAAAAGAAAAGTTAAACCATGAAAGAGATATAAACAGAAAAGATCCATCATTTTTTCTTCTGGCTTCAGCTTTTAAGACCAAGCCTACTTTTTCTATCCTTCAACTTCTCTAAAGTAAAAGTAAAGAAAGCTTCATGTTGTTGTTACCACAGAAGATGCAAAAAACTAAATTAGCTGCACTCTTCCTGAAATTCTCTGGTCTTTACTGTTTCTAAACCTACAAGTTTACATAAACAAAATCCAGACAAGTTTTGCGTGGATTTGTTTCTCTTTCTCCTATCTTACGTACTAAGAGGTAAATGAAAATCTATCTTCGCTCTCTTTCATCTGTCCATCTAATTTCCAGCACGTATCTAAAATCATATATCTTCAGTATCCTTACTAGACTGGAAGGTATAGTCAGTAGCCATAGCAAGTAACTAAAGAAGTTGTTCTGTTAGAGAAGAATAGATAATTAGGAGAAAGAAGAAAAGTGAAATCAAGGACTAGTTAGTTTTCATTTACTGTTATTTTCTTAACATCATCAAAAAGAAAAGTGAAACCAAGGGGATATTATATTTTTCTAACTAAAAGATCGAGTTTTGTAAAGCCTTAAGTTTATAAATGAGGTAGTCACACACTTCAAAAAGGTATTAGAGCAGGCAAGAGGTCTAGGTTCAAATCTCTCTGCCACCTTAAAAAATATTTCCACGTGTTTGGCCCATAATAAGAATCAGACCCGCACGTGAGGAGGTTTGTTGTGACATAATATAATTAAGCAATTAAAAGTGTGTTCTCTCCAACCACTTAAGCTTTTAGATGAGATTGATCACACATTCAAAACTGAAATGCTCGATCCTTGCCATTGCAGAACCTAAATTTTACGTAAATGTTGGAATTGAGCTACATTTTAGAGCATTAGGAATGTGCTTATGGTATTATGCAAATCTCAGTCAATGAAACAATGGCTTAGTGATGCATTTGCATGTGATTCCTCGTTTTGCTGTAGAAGAGTAGTAGAAATTGGACTGTTGTAGCATATAAATGACAGCTCTCCAATCTAATCTCGTAACAAAAAATGCATCAATCACAGCAAGCGAGAATGTTCACCATGTAATCAGGGGCGGAGCTAACCCATCAGCTACGGGCTCGGCCGAACCCAGTAGCTTTGGTCCAAAGTCTGTATTTGTCTTATAAAATTTATTGAATATCTACTAGTTATTAATTTAGAACCCAATAACCTAAAAGGATTAGAATCCCGAACTCATAACCTTCAAATCAAGGCTCCGCCTGATGTAATATCCATTGGAAATCACTCAATTTTTTAGGTTGTAACTTTGAATGTCTACATCTTATGAGGAATATGATTCCCAGCCATATAAAGTTTTAGAGTGACTGATATTTGCTAATGAAAATTGACTGACTTGTGTTCTCTTTCTTTCTAAATGTTGGTTCTTGCAGTTTGGTGGAATGCTCTGATATATGTAATTTGATAAGAGATGGTGAAGATGGACCATAGGCTGTACATTTGATCTTATTTTTTTTGTTAGATTCTTTATTTGAGCCTACAAAATTTCCAGCTGCTCTTATATATGATTAAAGCTGTGATAGGGTTGTATATTCTCTGTGCAGAAATGTGACAGGCTTTTATTTATATACTCCTACTTTTTCTTCCACTTTCCTGGTGAGGTTAGCACCAATATTCTTTAGGATATAAGAGAAAAATATTAATGCTTGTATTGTGAAGTGAGAAATGGAAATTGGAAATTACAATATTAGCACACCAGTATTTATGGTTCTTTGTTATCAGGTAACACTATGGTAGTATTGCAGAAAAGAAGGGAAAATGAAGAAGTTGAAAGCAAAGGGGTTCCCTTTCTCTTATTTGCTTTAGAAAAAGTTAGGAGGAAAATGATCTTTTTCTTTTCTTTTCTTTTTTGGTCTAGTAAATGAAAAAAGACTATATTTTCAGCTCTAAAATTTGTATCTCGTTAAAAATAACTGAACTATAAATATTTAAGTAGCTGAACTTTACCCACTATAATAGTAAAGTCACAAATTGTTAGTGGCCGTTGCTGGTTTGCCCAAAATGCTATGTGCAACCCCACGGTTTAATTGTTTTTGCAGCAAGGTTTACATGCAGTTTGGATGTCAAGAACTATATTTGTATTTTACTTTGATGCACAATTAAAGAATACTAGAACACACACATACATATCACGCAAAATATAAAAGTTATATATAAATATTTTAACTTAAAAAAGTTCAACACTTAAACTCGTATATAATGAAAATCCTACACAAAGGAATGTTCACCTATATATTAAATATTATATGTATGCGTCTAGTAACAAAATGCAAAATGCTTACACGGGCAAAATGCAAGAAAGTTATTATTAGGAATCGTTACTCCATTAAGTAATTTGTGGTTAGTAATTATTACTCTATTAAGTAATTTGGTGTCATTTCCTATTTAAGAGATTCATATATATATATACTTCACAAAAATATCATTTCTCCTTTTTAATCAAAGACGTGAACAAAAATTCCCAACAAAAAAATTTATTATGTTACTTAAATTTGATAAAGCTATGTACATATACCTCATGTTTTTCTAGACTATACGCTTAAAACCCTTGTAAAATAAAATCATTATTCAAAATAATATTAGTGCTTTTCAATACAATGTTTGTGTTGAATTTCCATTTTATAATGTTTGTGTTGAGGTATCTGCAAGTGCTTAGTGTAATTTCACCTTAAAAAAAAATAGTGCAAATTTCTTTTGATATTTTCTTCTGTAAATACAATGATAATGAATGAGATTTGATCCATTTAATCTTTTACTAAACTATATTAAAGAATAGTTGGATAATTGTCCAAATTCAATTAACAAATCAGTTTCCTATTTCATATACTTTCACCTACCCAACCTTAAAAAAAACAATAAGACAATTAGACAAATAAGAGCTCAAGCTTCGAAGTTGTAAAAGTCGGAGCCAAAATCTACTGATCCAAAAAACAAAGTGGAACCCAAAAAAATGGCGACTCATAGATTTTTTCAACCAATGAAATGGTGGCAAAAATTAACACGAAGAGAGTGGACTATAGCAGCTGCCTCACTCTCTATTCTAATTTTTACTCTTTCCTTCATTTCTCACTCTCACAGATTTTCTATTAATTCAACGCCCCCTACCGACGATTTGGTACCCTTTACCCCTTTAAGCAATGCCCAGAAAAAATCCGCTTGTAATTTTCTCTTCCAATTATTATCTTGGATTTACTTCTTTTGTTTTTTTTTTGTCTTCAACGTTTTACTTTTTACTATATTTGGTTATGGGTGATCAAAATGGTAGTAAGGTGTAGAGTTTTTTAATTTTTGGAATTTTTTGCAGTTTGTTTGGATGGAAGCGTACCTGGGTATCATTTGCAAAAGGGTTTTGGATCTGGGACTGATAAATGGGTTATTCTCGTTGAGGTCAGCTTTCTATTTCTAATTGATGTTGCTCACTAAAAATTGTTCCTTGCAATTCTTAAATTTTTAAACGGAGTGATGACAACGTAGTATCCAAGTAGGTAGATAGGAGGCAGTATTTTCATGGAGGGCAGCCCGGTGTGTTTAACCAAAAATCTGAGTCTTTGGTCAAAGCTAAAAAGAAATTCGGGTTACTGATAATCATGAGACGAAAATAAAATACTTTTGAGAATGATGCTAAAGCAGCAAATAGTTTTGTATTTCAATAAGTTCCCAATAGTATTCCGTGTCCTTACAAATGATGATACTTCTCCCTTTTATAGGTAATTCTAGGTAAAGGAATGAAGCCTCAGCTTTAATGATATAATTATGAGTAATAAATGATATTAAATAAGCCGTTATACAATCATTCCTATTAAATACCAATTTTCTAACGTATCAGGTATTTAATAATGAATTTGGACTCCTTTCTGTCATCAGATCTTTGTCTTTAATGCCTTCTAATCCGTTGGCTGTAAATGACTTGAATTGGTACGAGACTCGTATCTGCACTTCGTCTCGTGCCTATTTAAATTCCTCTTCCCGTGGCTGTCTCCATCCGTGCCTCTTAGTCAATTGTTGCGCTTTGACCATTTAACCAAACCACGTGTCATGCCACGTCATCTTTAATATAAACTCAGTTTTTTCCCAATACAGATAGTCCCCACACTTTCCATTTATTTATTAATTAAATAATTGGGAAGTGGATCTTCATAAAAAAGGAATTTTCGCCACAATTAATGCTTATGACAGTAATAACGCCTCAGTCGTTTTTTCCATTTAATGTTCTGCCCATGTGTCATTTTCTAATTGATTCTGCTATTTACACCCTTTTTCAAGACTTCTTCATTCTCACTATTCACGAAGTGATAGTTGCCTTTATTATAGGCTTTCCATCATTACACTTCTAAGTTTGATGGTTCCCATTATATACATAACTTTTTCTTCCTTTGTCTTCTTCACAAATCTTCAGCAAACATTTTCTTCTTTATTTCTACTTTCTTTCGACTTATCCTTCCTAACAATGTCATCTTCAAACCCTAACCGTAAAAAAGTTCCGATTCTAGACCAATTCCCCAACGCCCCTGTTAGACACAGAAGAGGCGGAGGAGGTAGGCTTCGAACAGGGTTAGAATCTACTCGAGGCGGCTCCTCTGGTTCTTCTTCAAGGAGTTCTATCCCAAAGGCCCCCTCTTCTA